AAGAAGACAGCTAATGAACTGCTATTAATTAACTGCTATATATATACCCCCTACCCTTGGGGGAAGCTGAAGTCAAAGTTTAAGGGCTAATGATAAATATCATAAAGCCTGCCATTTGAAATAAATAAATAAATAAATTTTTTGAAAAATACTGCTATTCGATGCGAGATTCTTTTCACAACTGCAAATTACAACTTCATAATTGCTGAGTCATAAAATTTCTAATTTGCACTGCAATTATCTTAAAAAAAATTCCAGAAGGCTAACGCTACGCATAGAAATTCACTTTTGTGCTATGAAAGTGAACTGCAAGCAGCTATTGCTCATGACAAAATAACTCTCCTTTTGTTTGAACACGCAGTCAACGCAGGCGGAATTTGCAACAGGAGTAAAATTTACTTCGCCAAAGCGAAGAAGGAGCTAACCCCCACCCCTGTCTCAGCAACAATATTTAAATATCTACTGAAAAGGCGAAAATTCCTCTCAAACTCCACTTCTTTTAACCAAAAAGAAAAGACACGCGATTTAGAGGAGGAAAAAGGCGCCTTCTTATAGATTGCGGACATGCCGATTCCCTCGCACAACTTCTTGTTGGTAAGTGGAATACGCGACTGTTGCACTACAGCAGAGATTATAACTCCCCGCTCATTAAGATATACGGCAATTTTGCCTCGTTTTTTTGTCAAAACCTAATCACAAAATTGAGGTGTAGAAATGTCTTTCACATTTTTTATGTTTTGCACAACACCCCATTTTTTGTGTTTTCAAAAAATTTAAAGCTGTGAATTACCATGTTTAGTTTGCATGTGCTAAAAAGATCCTGAAATGCCAACTTCGTGTTGGTCACTTTTTTTGGACAGAAGCGTTTTCCAAAAATAAATGTCAAATCAGATAAGCCGTGAGCATTTCGCTTCTTTTTTCCCGCCTGCAGTTGAGGACGTTCACTTTTTCCGTGCTTAACAACTTGTCTTCCTGGTTGAGCGAGTCATCGTGACACACCAGTTATCGCCTTCCATGATTCCAGCGGGTTACGGCCATACACACACACTCTCTCTCTCTGACAACAGAATGCAGGCCTTTAATGGAGTAAGTGTAGTATTGATGACCTTGCTGACCATGACGCCGCTGATCAATTTCTTTAGAGTTTCATTTGATTCCTTTTATGTCATTGAAGGGTCAGCGACTATATCACGTAGAAAGCACCGGTTCTCGTCCGATCATCGAAGTTAAACTACGTCGGGCCGGGTTAGTACTTGCATGGGTGACCGGTTGGGAATACCCGGTGTTGCTGAATTTTTAGAGTGTGCACAATATTTGCAACATGGGGTGTGCGATAGACTTAACTCCACGCGTGCACCCTGGGCAACGTATACTCACACGGCAAAAAAGTCCGTGCACCCTGGGCAACGTATACTCATACGGCAAAAAGTCTTTTAACTGCACCCTGGGGAACGTATACTCATACGGCAAAAAAGTCTAACTGGGCAACGTATACTCATACGGCAAAAAAGTCTACTAACCGGCAGTTGACTTCTGAATTCAAACAACCATGACCACAATTGTCTGCCTGACTCTTTCACGACTGTCAATCATTATTCTGTCCCTCTCCTCTCTGTGAAGCCCGAAGTCAGCTAAAGGGCTAATGATAACTATCATAAAGCCTGCCATTTGAAACAAACAAATAAATATAAATACGTCATTGAAGGAGGCTTGGAATGAAAATGGAAAGTACTAGTTCCTTCATATGCTGCCTCATAAATTTCTCATCAGGAAGATCGCCACCAATCGAAGGGAACTTAATTTAAGGCCAAGGAAATAAATTTTGGAGTATGTGATGCCGATTGATAGAAAGTGAATCTCCCCTCCTCCCTACATTTACTTATTCAAATTCCTTGCATAATTGATTTTCCAAGTTCATCGGCGCTCTCTAACGGCGACTACTATAAATTCTAATTAGCAAATTCGTAGAGGATGCAAGTGAAATAAGGTGGAGGGTGAAAAAAGGATACAATTTCCGAAGATCATGAGGAGCACAAAGTAGATGGAGTAAATGAAGGCGCCTTTGGAGAGACCGCCCTGTGAGCGAATTCCATTGTACATGATCGTGTTCCAATCCTCGCCAGTTAAAATCTAGAACGAGATACACGAAAATTTGCATCATACTTTCCTCCTAGTGAATCAAGGCGAATAAAATTTGTACAATGCAAAAGTGTTCCAGGCCAAATCTCCCAACAAGTGCTCTGGAGGGAAGGATCTACGTTCAGTGGAAGAATTGATGGGGAATCCGCTGAATTAGGATAAATCAAAGTACAGCGATATTCCACCCTTGGTGCGTAGATTTGCTCCCACCCCACCCCCCAACACTACGGATTGAAACCATATTAATTAAGTTATTAAACATGGCTATTTTACCAACATTTAATTAATCCAAATAAGCTTATATCAATATAAGGAATTAAGTTGTAAACTTGTATTCAAAGAAATAGGGCATTTTCCGGAAAACTATGCCATAATCACAATTGGTTTTGAAATTAATGCACTTGAGATGAAATCGGTTTGTTTTTTTCTATGAGTAGTCATAAATATGGACCATGGTCGGTCTAAAACTGTGAATAAATTGAGATCAAGATAATGAAAAATTTTCTAACGGAAACTATCAAGTAGTCATTCTGAGAGCCAGATCAGCTAATGTTATTTTGGCGCAATCGAGCGTAGTATTAGGCATGACAGTGACAATTGGAGATATTGCGTTCTTCACAATTTGACTATTGTTCAGCATAAATCCTCACCCGATCAGAGTTCACTTTCTCAGCGATTCCTTCCATTATTTTGGCAATTTCATTGTGAATTTTGCTTCTTCAAAAACATATTTAAAATGATCTTACGACCATTTGTTATACACAAATACGAAAATTCAAAGGAAGCAAAGATTCATAGAGAGAGAGAGTAGGTTCACACTTCATGGGTAGATTGAGACACAACAAATTGAGCTGGAAGTCATGGAATCAGACGGTTCCTACTTCTTCTGAACACCAGAATTACCGAACCAACTTTCACTTAACGGCGAAGTTTCTTTTTGCATCACTCTGTCCTTCAAGACGTAAATCTGGTAGGCAAGCTTGATATATATGGTTTCAGAACCCTCCTCTTGCATCATTCATTGAGGAAAGAAGTCTACCAACTGATAGATTGTCAGTGTCCTCCCCTTCACCAGCCCTTTCCGCGAAGAACTGTAGTTGTGCTTTTGCTTTCGCCTAGCCATTAATTTAGTAATTGTCAGCGTATTTATGTATCCCTCCCCCCTCCCACCTATGCCTCCCAGGGGGGGGGGATTTTCTAGTAGAATGTTGACACTAATTTGCCCATTATTGCTTTGATATTTGCATTAATCTTCAAGTAGTATTCTGAATTGTCTTTCATCTACTTTCGCTCACTTTATCAGTTTCACTATTAGATGGCAAATAACTTTGCCATAATTTGTCAACTAGCTTCATTTAGTGATTGGACGCCCTCAGGAAACATGGAAGGCGAATGAAATTCCTGAAATTCAAATTCAGGAACAGCAAGTCACAATGAAATAAGCAATGCACAGTTCAGAATTCAATGACTATTTCTTTCTCTAAATTTTACACAATTTTGTTAGTTCGCCATTCTCTTGAGCACCGTTCCACTGTTTCGTGTCCAGATAATCTCAACGGTGAAATATTTCAACTTACTTAGCTTTGCTGTAGGCAGTCAATAAATAATAAATGGATGTAGTAGTTAGTGGAGTAAAAATGTCAGGAGAACTTGTCATCAGAGAGAACCCAGTCTGTACATTTTTGTGAAATCCCATTTAGCACTTTCATCACCTAAAGTGAATGGAGATTTTTCGATTTGATAAAATCTCATCCTTTCATAATCCAGATGGAATTGTCAATGCAGAAATGGGCTAAGGATTCATGCTAGAACACCTTACTTATCAGATGCCTCTGCCAAAGTATGCATCGGTATGATTCTTGTTGTTCAAAAGATGGGGGAGTGGGGGAGGGTAGTGCGATCGATACTTCAAATCAATTTTAAATAATTTTGATTGGGGCAACTAACGCGTTACTCATCCAACCACTCTGAAAGCAGAAGGTCAAAGAGGCTCCCACGTCGAGGGAGAAATTTTCGTTTTATTTCCTTTCACTTGCCTTCTCACCACTGTGAAAATGATTTCTAATAATTATTTCAAAATATCTCTTTTCTTTCGTAGGATAAAACTCTGAATTGAAACAGACAAATAAGTGATTTCAAAATGAATGGGCCTAAATTTTCCAAATTCAATATATTTACATATACATATATATATAAATATATAAATAAATAAATAAATATATATATATATATATATATATATTCTTGCCTCTAAAACATTTTGGATAGAAATGAAAACTTCTATTTTTAAATTGAAACAAATATCATAGGAGTGAGCAAAAAAATACCTACCTGAAAAACCGTGAGAAGCGCCTTTGAAAATGTATCAAAGTGTTGACTCGGTTGGCCATCATCGAATGCGAAACTAGAGAAGGTTAAAAAAGAGGCTGTGTCATGTCAATGTACATTTTTGAATACACGCTTTTGACCGTTAGAAAATATAAGCAAAAAAACTTGAAAATAAGTCTAATTGCTCATTTTGGCTTATGTTACTGTTAAAGTCGCGCTTCAGAGAGAAGGAGATTTAGTGAATTGTGTGGTCGGAGGTCGAATCCTTTCTTATACATTGATTTGAAATGGTTGGTAAATGAAATTACAGAATTTTGGGTTCCTCATAATTTTGGTCCCGTAATACTGCCTCCTTGCTCAAAATGAATGCTGGTGAGGGCTTTTGTAATGCAATTAGAAAGTGCACTCAAAAGAAACCCATAAATTTTGTCAACAGTCTCCAGATCATGGGGTCAGCGAATTCCGCGGTCCCTCCAGGGGCTACAAGACCCCCTGTGGAGAAGCCATCATTGCTGTTGCCGCCTCATTAGCCAGCCAATCACATTTCACTTATTCAATTCTAAAGAGGTAAGTTTCAGCCCTTCAAGTCACCAATTATAGTAAAAATCATGCTGCATTATTGTATGGATGCATTGAAGCCAAGAAATGAACTTAGCAGTGCTCGAATGACCGTATTATTGCTAATATTTTCAAAATGACGTGAACATGTCAAGACGCGTCAACTCAGATGTGACAGCTCAAGCCGGTGGAAAGGAAACCTTCACGTGAAGATCTCAAAGTAAGATCGCGCACGTTTGCATGGTAACCAATTGGGAAAGAAGAAGGAGGTTGTTAAATCAATTTTTTAATTGACTAGCATAAAAAGCCAATTTTCAAGAAAAGAATTTCGTTTTGATTTTTTAGCGATTTTCGCAATTTGATGACTTTTAGTAAACCGCAATTGTTACACTGGAAGTCTCCTTAGATCGCTTTGCCTGAGAATCAGTGATCCCTTTGATATTGCCTTCCATTTTGCTCTCTTTTTGCTATTTTCGCTCGAATTTTCTTGAATTGGGGAAGTGGATTTTCGAGACCCGCAACAGAGAGAAGTCCCACATGTTAGTGGGTTTAGAAGATGAATCTATTTTGGCCAATTGAACAAATTGTGATTTACCTTTGAATTAGCCAATTGAAATCCTTTTTTTGGGCAGACACAGGAGGCATGTCTGGTGGGTGAGACTGCAGCGTCCAAGGTAATCCCATTTATTAGCAATAAACTCAGCCACAAGCACCCTGTGAGTGGCCTTTCCACACTTTCAGACGCTATGATCAGTAAAACTTGATTTGTGTTCGCATAGTTTTGAAATTAAAATTTGCACTGAAAGTTATAAAACCCACCGTCTCATACCCTTAGCGGGAATTCATTTTATATTTCATTAAACAGGAACTTGAGGAAGATAATTAGATAAAAGTTCACGAGCTTTTTAGATTGTTTTTTTAAAAAAAAATATTGAAGGAAGTGAATAATGGAAACTAATTTCGGTGGCTAATCTTTGGCATAAAGAAAGGATTAGAATTCGAGTCGTGGGGGGAAAGAACTGATGAAGTCTGCGCGTTTTTTTTACCTTCCGCAAAGCGAACGCTTGGCGGAGGACTTGGAGACATGGCTTCGAAAAAAAAAGCACTTGCAGCATCTTTCTTCCATCACAACGGCTCCAATCACGAGTTTTCTCCAAAGATTCCCAAGTAATCCGCATGATTATAAGTAAATTGAAGGAAGGTACTTTTAGGAAAAACGTTAAAATACTGTTTAAAATATAGCGATTAGCCGTCGTGTCCCCTAATCATGAATATTCATGAATGGTACAATGAAAGGAAAACGAAGTGGCAAAAGTTGATTTAGCTTTGAATGAAAAAAAACATCCGCACATTAGTAAAGTATGTGAATTTATCTCGTCGAGGTTAGCGTAACTTAGACAGGAAGCCTAAGGCCTACATTTTCATTTACTATCAAACTATTTACATTTAATGTGAAATAACGATGATGAAATTGCAGGGGAGTGTGAATCTACGCCATCAGAAGACGATATCCAAAGCAATTATCCTCGAGAGTTGGCCTGCAAGGTGATTCCCCACCGGGAACAATCTTTCTCTTCAAACTGTCGATACGTAAGTTGGCTAAAACGCAATAACGTCGCACTTTCCTTCCCCCCTTCCGTAAATAAAAGGATGAACTTGGCGAGAAAGCAATCCATTTGCCTTAAGATCGGCTCATTATTCAGAGCTTCCACGATTTTTTCTGTCAGAGTGAACGGCTAACCCCGTTTCACATGGGGACTTCTTTTCGCTTGCTCATTTCCTCTGAAAATACCTATCTTCAGTAAAAACTCAAATTGTCAATAATTACATGGAGGCATAACTACATCGTTTATTTCTTGCCAACTTCTATTTAATTAGACATCCATTGGTGCTTATACAAGCACTTTATATAAAGATTTGCTCATATTGATGTTACCCAGAGTGGTAGAAAAAACCAAATTTCGCCATTTTTATTGTGAAAGGAAGTGAAACGAATAAACAGATGACTTAAACAACAAAGAAGAAGAGAGAGGGCAAAGGGTAGGAGGAAGGGGGGGGGGTTTGAATCGACACGATACCGAGATCAATTTTGTGGTATTAATGAGATTCATTTATATTTACTTACTTTTAATCACGTTTTGGAAAGTTTAGAAAATGGGTGCTTCATTTAGTACAGTTAACATTACGCTATTTGCTCTCTAATTTTGTTGGGGGAATGCTGTTTCATTAATTATGGTCAGTCTTGTCACCTTGAATTTTACAGCAGCGTAAATGAGGGAGGTGATCTGTTTTGGCGTTCAGATACAACTTTAACACAAACATCCACATATATTGTACCGTTAAAGTGGGCTCATGTGTGTGTGTGTATTTTGGCTGGGAATCAGTAAATTAGCAAAATGAGCCCATTCAATCGAACTGACTTAGGCAAATGGGCGTCAACTTACCCACCGCCGAAGAGTTGCAGCCCAAGGAGAGCAAATATCACCATGAAGAGGAAGAGGAGGAAGAGGAGGCTGACGATACTCCGCATTGAATTGAGCAGAGAGAGCATGAGATTCCTCAGAGAAGCCCAGTACCTACAAATAAATCGATGGGTGGCACATGCGAATTAAAATTTTACCACGTTCGGATGGCGCAACCAAATGCCCCCAACATTCCTGGCTCACAACAGAAAATACCCGCCCCCCCCCTCGCCACTTGATCGGCATAGAGGAAGGGAAATCCATATCCCACTATTTTTCCTTTCTCAGCCGTGATATAATTCCACATCATTGAGTTTGTGTCCATAGGCATTAATTTCTTGAGCCCTGGTCTTAGCAGGCGTACCAGATGCCAAGGGAGACTTAACACTAATTTTGACACCTTCAAAACTCGACGTTCTTGGAGGTATTCTCGATCCTGGTACCCACTCTTCAGAATGTATTTTTTATTTTGACTCACAAAGGAATAAATGCATTTTCCGGTATTCGTTTTCTAATTCGTAATTTGTTAACGTCCAAGTTTTAAAGCTTTGTGTATACACTTGCTCTGGTGGCTTAGAGGTCCACGTGCTTGTGATTAAAGACACGGGTCCTTCTCTGCGATCCCTCAGTAAGTATGATGGCCAATGTGACTGGGGTACAGCTGACTTTCGAGTTCCCACCAGAGTGACTTCATGAGATGCATCTACTCAAGTATGTTAGTTGAACACTACTTTAGTTCTGGCCTAACAATCTCAAATATCCCCTAGAACAGCACAGATCGATTAAATCGAACGAGTGGAACCCAGGAAACTTCCCCTTAATGAGTAAAGGAAATTACAATCAAAGATGTACTGAGCATCATATGCATAGGATGCAAAAATTTGTCCACTTGAAACAATAAAAAGAGGTCTTTGAGTCATTTCGAGCCGATGTTAAGCCAAAAACAATTGATCATTTTCATAAAGGAGAAACCTGTGATTACCTTCTTGAAAGAAATACTTCCTAATGTGGCTTACAAGCAGCACAATTCCCACATTTCTTGTTGTCTCATCAACGCAAGATCCGCCATTATCAAGACAAACGAATCAAGTGTTCCTCACAGATTCCTCAAATTTTCGACGAAGGCTCATTTGCGTCCACTGCTATAATAGGCCCCTTTACCTCAACTACGTCCAGTAAATGAATTGCCAATCAAGTCAAAATGAAACATTCATAGCACACATATATTGCATAAAGCTCACGAACCGAGTAAATTTGAAGATTCGAAGAAGGCGGATGCTTCGAAGTGCAGAAAATCCAAAAGATTCTGCTGGAAATTTCATCTGCCAAATGACTTCGAAGAAGCTTGCAAGTACGACCTAAATGCAAACGCGAAAACAGTCATAGAAATCACCTCAATTCTTCGGCAGAAAACAACAACTTTTTTGTCTCAAACTTCATCTCGAATAAACATGAGAGAGAAGTAGTATATGTTGTTCATATTTCGACCACACCATGCAGGCATTTAAAATTTTTTACCAACGAAATTTCATTAAATGCAAAAACGTCATTTCTAATACGAAAAACTCAAAAAGATAATTGAAGCATTAATTGGATTCAAGTGTACTCACTATCTTAAAATGACCATGCTTTTACTCATTCTGACTATTAAAAATATTACTGAATTTAATACAAAGGTTTTAATTTGCATTTATGGAACGCGTCTCGAATCCGATCGCAGTATTTTCCAAGAAATAATAGTGACGTGAAGATCACAAAAACACCATGGAATCAAAAAATCACATTTCATGTGCATTTTGGACTTTAATTGGGCAAGATTTCTTCAAAGGCTAGTTCACCTTGCAAGATTCCAATTTCACAAATCCTCCCTAAATTGCAGCAGATACTGGTGAGCAATGGTGAGTGCTCTCTGAGGGGGTCAATCTCGTAACTCAGAGAAGTCAAAATGTTTTTTTTCGCATAATATTTACAAACCTTCACTTTTAACTTCCAGTGAGATGTTGAATTGACTCACGGGAGGTCCATAAATTTCCCCAAACTATCTCTCTCTCCCCCAACCTACATGCTTTAAAATTTTATTTTCTTACTGGTATTAGAAAAAAAGACAAGTTGTAAAGTGAATACTTTATAATTGTGTTACTGATTTTACGAGCGAACTATGGAACATTATAAAACGAAAACCTCATATCTTAGCTATATTCAATTCCCTACCTTCTGCAGAACGCAATGGGACTGTAGATTTTAATGAAATGTTGGAATGTGACTTAGACGATTCATTATATGCTTTATTTGGCATATTGTCATGTATATATATATATATATTTCATATGGTGGATGATGTGAGTATGGTCCTTGAAGACAGTTAAATTTATTGACACATAACTAAATACATGAGTTGATATATCATGTATAGCTCAGTGTTAAACGAGGATTCTAAGTCCAAGTTCTGATTGCTATTCAATAAATAATAATCAATACCGAGTATTAGAAGTGGAAAGTTGCATTTTAGATGAGTCACCCTTAGTGAGCTTGAAAGGAATAACATTTGCCAAAAGTTAGAATCTTGCCTTGCGTTTGAAACACAACTATTGCCGTATTTTGCACATTATGGAAATAAAAAATAGTAACTTTTAAGTGCTTGAAGTTCGCATACCGCGTTTGACTGTGCAAGAAAATATGCGAAATTTTAAGCAATAGAAAGTGTGAAAGAGAGGTGAGTTAAGAAATGGGAAGTAGTTTCAGGAAATTAAGCCATCCTTTTACTTGAATAATGGAAGCATTGAGATGTCGGTAGTCTTATATGGGCAGAATTCATTTCAACGTGTCTTAATGACCTCAGTCTACAATTGAATTATCCAATTCATGAGCGAGATATTGTCTACGATACTCATACCCTTCTACTCCAATTTCGTAATCGATCCAGCCATCTAGATGAATTGCACCATCTCATAAGTCTAGCTGCAGCCAAACAGGATTGGTGGGGTTTTAACTGAAAAAATGCTTCACTTCAACACGATTCGTTATTTTACATTTAATTAGTTAAACCAAATTTCAGAAATAGTAAGTTGCTCCAATTTGCAGTTGTGGCGGCTGTGAGGATGCAATAAATTATTTGAGGAAAATGGGAATTCACACACAAAGGGACCTTACCACACAATCGAAAATGTTGAATGAGGAGTGGAAGTAGCCGACAGGTCCAAGAGCGAACAATTTGAGTTGCATTTCCGTCAGAAATAAACCGAGAAATACAAACTCCGCGTAGTCTAAATGAGGAAAGAAAATTAAAACTCATAAAAAAGCTCACAACATTTTGCACAGTTTCACGATTTTGAAAAGAGATTTATAACCAGCTACTTAATAGGTTTAAAGTGAAAAAAACTGGACGCTTTCTTAAAATCGATATGGATCAAGCACTTGTATCTATATGCCATTTAGAAACGCCAAAATTTCATATCCCTCGATTTGATAATTATAAAATAGTCATTACTTGAAGCTTTCCCCATGGATTTCCAAAATGCGTGAAAGCCTTCCTCGAGAAAATTCGTCAACTGGCACAGAAGTCGAAACATGCTCTTGACGCAAAGTGCCATTTGGGCGATTCACAAAAGAAGATGCTGAATGCAAGGGACAGAGTGCCTATTGAGGCAAAAGTTTTGCCAAAAAGTAGGCAGGCAGGGTGACTTCAAAGAAGGAGTGGAGCACCTAAGTCCGACCAGTCACTCAGCTGTGCTAGATTGATTCATTTTTGCATTTCCCAATAATGAGAGTTTCACCTCGGCGCTGCAACCCAGTTCAAACCAGTATGAATGCGATGTTACTTCAATCAAGATATTCAATTGCTAAATCTAGGTAGATTGAGGATTTTTTTGCAGATCACTGCTACAACACTTGAAGCCTTCAATGCTATCAGTGAAGTGGTTAAGGTAAGGAGGGATTAGGTAAATTATCCCAGTTATAATTAAAGGAATTCGACCATGACCAATACACTAAAACAGAAAGACAAACTTCCCACCTTATAATCGACTCAAAGTTTGATGATTAAGTTGGAGATTCCAATTTGTTTAGCGTCCTCCTGTCAGCGCGTGGCCCGAGAGACGTTTTTTTAATTTTATCGATTTGTTTAGTTTAAGTATAAAAACTGACGAGGAATTTATGCGGAAGTTTTTCCTTGAAAAGATATTTCAAAATCACTACTGCCCGTTCAAGAATCGAAAAACATGTCAAAGAGATTCGTGGTTTTCTCTCTCTCTCTTGCTCTTTGTTCAATGTGCCAAGATTTTGACTCGTTTGGTGCTATTTTTGAACATCAGTGACAACTAGCTGAGGAGAGAGATAGAGAGAAGAACAAAGAAAGTGAGAATCCGAGATCAAAGCATTTGCATCGAGAGTATGCGAATCGGCTGGCGAATTAAACGAGTTTCCACATGGAGACGAGCGGTTTTACCGCCACAGAGTGGTGAAACGCAGTGGTTGCAGCTGAGTTAAGCAAAAAAAAATATTTTGTGCAAAAGCTGTTTCATGAAAATGTCGCTCCAATAACTATTTGTGGAAGCGTTGAGGGAGTAATTCCCTGAAGTCAAGTACGCAGTCATTTCCGGTGACATTTGGATAAAACAAAAATAAAAATTTAAAAAATTTAACTTCCCAAATGTGTTGAAACCAAATACCATCGTTTTGGGTTGAAAAGCTGAAAGTCAAAGTGCAGGAATATAGCTGTGAAGGAGCGCTTTCTTTAGCAATTTCTCGGAGATGAAGAAATCGCTGAATTTGTGTGTACTTCACTCGAGAGTATTTAAAAGAATAGAAGCCTTTCTTTGACGCTATTGAGTAGTTAGAATTTGGTGATTACATTCAATAAAAATAGTAATTTTCGTGAGTAGGTTTAGGAAATTGATTTGAATTATTGAAAAGATCTTGCTTTAAATTGGGTTAATAGGCTAATAATCACATGTAAATCAATAAATACTGATGCAAGCGAGAAGAATGAGCATGTTTCACATTGGTAGAGGTTGGAGGGGGGAGGCGAAGTGGAGCTTACGAAGGAAATTGCTGAGCCAGTCCGGTTGGCCATAGTGTTCAATCGCCACGCAGATGGCATTAAGGAACACCACTGTCAAAACAATCAAGTAGAACGCCTGCGATCTTATTAAAGCGCGACATTTACACCTAAAATATATAGAGAGCACTTAAACATTGTTTTTGTTATTCTGCTAATAGGAAGTTCATATGGCCCGTTTATGGCTGTATCAACAATGCCAGTGGAGCACAAATATACGTGCACTTTAAATATTGTGATTGCCAAATAAGCTAAACGACACATCTTTCATGAAAAGGGAGACTGTTGGCGCTTTGAAGGTGCCTGCTTACTGCATTTATATTGGGGTGCGCGATAAACTTACCTCCAGACGTGATGCACCCTGGGCAACGTATACTCAACCATGGCACGACTGCTTGTCATATTCGACCGCTTTCACAGTACTCATCTTCAAATGTCTATTAACCGGCATTTGACTTCTGACTTCAAAATATTCATACGGCAAAAAAGTCTATTAACTGGCAGTTGACTTCTCACTTCAAACTGCCATCACCCATCTATTAACCGGCAGTTGACCTCTGACTTCAAACTACCATGACTCCATTGTATGTCATATTCGACCCCTTCCACAGTACTCATCTCCCTCTCCAGACTTTTTCTCTCTCTTTGATGTTCCTCCTCCCTCTACGTGAAGCCCGAAGCCAACTAAAGGGTTAATGTCAGCTATCATAAAGCCCACCATTTAATATAAATAATTAAACATTTCTATTGGGGAAGAGTTTTTAATTAAAGTGTAGATAATTGCACGAACGGGGATGAGAATGGCTTTGTAGCGTCATCGCATGTACTCCAAGATCTTCCACTGAATTACCAGTTGCCGGAAGAAGGTAAACACACCTAAAATTGCCAGAGTCCAAAGATTGGGTGCTTTAGCCACGCCCATCCTCATCTCTGTGGGGCTTTTTCGTATCTATGAGCTTATATTTACAGCTTTTAAACAAGCCCAGACATCCTTTAGCTAACTATGCTCTTCCAAATGCCACAAATTTGCGAACATGTCATCATTTCTCCATAAAACACCAAGACAACAGTTGAAGGTGGTTCACTTCAATGAATACTAACATTTAACTAGTATTTTAAATCCCACATTATACCCAACTGCGAGGTAAAAGTCCAAGAACTTACCATCTGATAATGGGCACATATTGCGTTTAAATTCATGGCATAATGGCCAATGGGGTGGGGGGTTGGGGGGGGAAGGGAATTCGAATTTATTACGAATGAACTTTCAGAATGCCACTTTTCAAGGCAACACGAGGGCTTGAAATCGCGTGCCTAAATTGGCTTGGACGTAATTTCACAGTTCTTTTTTCATAGCCAGTGAGTATTTCAATTTTAAACAATCACCTGAGCAAAGTTCAATGGGAATTTTCATGATTAAATTGCCCCTAAAGAGCAGAAGGTTGAAAGCTCTGTCAATTGAAAACCAACATCCACCCCATCTCTCCTAAAATTGTGAGTATCACATGAGAACACATGCTCTTCTCAACATTGCAGAGAAAATTGCATTAAAGAGGCAACATCAATCTTTCTTGATGAAATAAAAGACTGATACTCCGTGCAAATGATCGATAAGAGTTCATTGTAAGCCGTGAACGATTCATGCAACAACTCTAATCCAAATGGACAACTGAAGTGAGACTAGTTGATGCGTTGGATCTATTATCGATTTCTTGTTAATTCAATCATCTCTATCATTCGTTGGGCTTACTGCAAACCAATTTCGCATTATTTAACTTTTACTAATCTTGCATTTTGATTAACTTTTGAATTTCCTCATTCATCGCGCTAACAGTTGAAAGTGAGTTTCAGACGGCTTCTAAATTTTGACGCAATAGCTAAGTCCATCATTTTGAAGGAAGAGAAAGGGTAATTTTACCGAGTGCGTTTGAGAAGACGACAGCAGAAACCCGATCTTAAAGCTGCGCAGCGCCTGTTGTCATTTTGATCTGGAAGTAAGTAGGAGATAAGGTAAGTGGATACGCGAAAATTCCTCTAAAAATCGTTATCCTCTTTTTATTTGATTCAAAACTTATTTGATTTTGTTCCTCCAATGTCTCAGTTATGGTTGATAAATAAACAGCAATTTTGAATAAACTTTATTGATTTTTTTCACATTTAAAATTCTCAAGGTGGCAAAACTGCCCTCATGAATCTCATGATTAAATGTGCGCGCATTGTTAAAGCAAGCACAATTAACACTTACCCATCCCCTCGAAGTCTCGATCAACGTAGACTTTTCCATTTCTATTGAATTTTTCCAACCGTTTTCTAGCTAAAAGTTAGGGATAAGGAATTGCCAATATTAAATAGGATTCGATTTAACACATTTTCTGCGACTATTTTAAACGAAGATATTAGTAAGAGGGTGTAATAAAAAGATGCTTGGTTACGCAACGACTTTAATTCTATTCACAATTGTTTGAAAACTAGGAATCACCAATTACGCCGACAACAACCAATTCCATCCAGATATCACGAAGAGTGAGAATCAACTTTAAATTTCATTGAATCTCCCCATTTTTCGGTGTTGGCTTCCTCTGGAGCCAAATAAATTTGAACGGGAGATCACGGCGTTACAAGAACCCTCAAATCTCCGTTCACGAAAAGTTGTGCAATTGCCAAAATTATTCTGAAAGCTATTTCCCCAGGGGCAACGGACCTCTCACATTCCTCCCAAAGTGGTTAAAGGTCAAAGGTACAGATGGGAATTTAAGGTCCAGTTATATTCTTCTTCGTGCAAGAAAAGTATGTTCATACCTGGACTTCATCTCTACCTGGTAAATAAAATACTTAAAGAACTTTATAATTGTGACATGAGGAGTGCGATAGACTTACCTCCACGTGGTGCATCTTGGGCAACGTACACTCATCATACGGCAAAAAAGTCTATTACCTGGCAGTTGACTTTAATCTACCATGACCCCACTGTACGTCGTATTCGACCAATTTCACAGTACTCACCTCACCTTTCCTCTACCTTTGTGTCTGTCTCTTTTACATCATTGTAACACACTCCTGTTCCCTCTCTCGACTTTTTTGTCACTTCGATGTTCCTCCTCCTCTCTGTGAAGTCTGAATTCAACTAAAGGGCTAATGATAACCATCAAAACACCTGCCATTTGATATAAATAAATACTTGTGACATCAAAGTTAATAATAATAATAAGAAGAATAATTATAAAATAATGAGGCATTACATTTAAATGACTATTGAATCGGTAAGTTGAAAGTGTAATCCAATTCGATTTTACAACTAACTACTCAAATTTTATTTTCAAAAGATAATGATGATTTGCTTGGTTAAAGATATTTCAAAATTTTGAAGGGAATTAGCTTAGTGAAATAATAATAATAATAATATTTTAGGCTCTCAGATAAACTTTTATGACCTACCCCGCAGAATTCTTAGTCTGTCTTCAGCGGATGTCTGTTCCTCAGCCAAAATCACTTCCTCTATA